TGAACTCCAGAAATAAATGAAGAGTTCAATCGAATAAATTTCATCGTCATAACTCACAGACCTGAACTGCTGCTACGCCGGGCAAAGACACCTCAGCCTCTGACCATTCTTTACCATAGTATCCCCTGAGCTGCCACGCTAAAATTAGCTCCTCTTTTCTTGGTTCTCGAAGAAGAACTTTTATGGTTGACTTTGATTTAAAAGGTATACGGTAAGTGAACCGTAAGCACAAGCCAACGACTCGATGAAATGGTTCCCATGGTAATGGTGGACTCTGTAACTGCGCTTTGTAAGGGCCATTAATGTATGCAAAATCGTCTAGGATAAAAATGTGTACAATAAATTTCATAGCATGAAATGTTTTTTAATGCTTTTTTCTATTCGTAGCGACGTTTAAACAAAAAATTTCTGAATTTAGGATCACAGTCTGCCAATTGAATTCAGATCTCCTTAATTTAGCCTTATTATTCAAACTTTATTTCTTTTAGGGAATGGTTTATAGCGAAATAATTTTATTCTAACGATTATTCTTTGTTACCAGGAAAAGCAAGTCAATTACAAAAAAAACTTAACTGTTGCTCGCAGTACTGCGCTTCTTTTCTTAAGTACTTAAGGTTATAGAAGTGTTTTAAAGATTTCGTACCAGGAAAGAGCTTCCACTTGGAATTTGCATGTGGGCTAGTCCAGTCGCATTTTCCAGACTCGAAGTAGCATTCTTCTAGCACCACCGCTGTTAAGGAAACACAAAAAAATATCTCCGTTAGCGGCGGTTAAAGAGCATCACGGCGGATTCACACAGACAATGTAATTCTTGTAATTCTTGTAATCCTATATAATAATGCAAAAGGAGATACCTTTTAGACCTACTTGTCCCAAAACTCGCTCCTCAAGAATCTCCTCTGGATGTTCCACGAATGAATAGCTAGCCTGAAAATAGTCACAGCGTATGGGTTAGGTATTACTTCAAGACATAACAGGTTCCAGTTCAGTGAGGCTTATCGTTCATGCACGCACCACTTTGCTTTACCTTAAGGCTGTGTCCTTATCAAATAAATGATTTGTAGTCATCCAACCTGGTTAATGCAAAAGTAATGCACTACTCTCGTTCGTCTCAAGATGTAGTGTGGGCCACAAAGATTCGACTACGTGCGTTTGTTTTACTTCTATTTGTAGGGTGATGGGGTCGACATACTCTTAAATAGTTCAGACCAATGTATTTCTACTTATGCCGATGACAAGTTATTCAAAATAAAACGGTGATGAAAAACAAACCCCTACAATTTCAAAGTCTACCATTCATTTGCTTCATTATGATTCATATTCTTGCCAAATTTTTCAAATAAGCATGCCACGGTGTCTCGTCAATTTTCTTGCCATAAATGCAATAGGAGTCATCACTTAAATGATGACAGCTACTTAAATGAGGGCTTCTCACCTTCACAGTAAAATTTCCAGGTTGATCGATCGTGTTAAAAACTACCTCAAATGATGTGTTAACACAGGACAGGCTCACTGCTGAGTTCACTGTTAGATTTTGTCCGAGGCTTGAGATATTCAGTTCCAGTGGGCAATCAGGACAATAGACTCCCTCACAGCAAAACTTGTAATATCCTATAATTTGGCCAAACATGTTGTATAATGAACCTATTCTACCGTCTACATCTTTACTTGGCGAAACTGAAACTTATGAGAATAGATTCATTAGTTACCTCCCAAAATATGAGTGCAAACTGGTGGATCATCGAGTTTAAAGTTCCATTCGCAAGTCCAAACTGATAGTCTACCGTCCTTCTCTCGTAAAGTCAATCCTAACCACGCCTTCCGAGTTAGCAATCATCAAATGCTTATGAAAGGGTTGTTCGAGGCTTTTTTGACGCAGTGTTGCGTCTCAGCTGAGAGACTTCTGAGAAATCTCTCTCAAAGGTATTCTTTAATTGATATATTTCTGAACGTCACACCGTACCGGCCAAGAACTTTTTTCAATCAGATGATGATGATTTTTGTAAAGAAATTGGAACAAAAGAAGCTGTTTCTTTTAATTTCTTTTTTTTTCTTTTTGTAACTCGGGCCACTTTTTCACTGTTAGTAAAAAGTGTGGCCGCTAAGTACCATTATATCTTACCAAGATCCTTCTTGATAGTAGAGAGCTCCCACTTCCCTTAGAGGGGTTGATTCCCACATGATCACTTAAATCTTTCCGATTCCCCATATTTTCAATACAAGAGAGAGAATCCTTGTAGATGTAGGGCAATATCAATAAACCAACCTGTTATGAGTAAATTTGACCCAACGAAGGCAGATATCGATGTCTTGTGATTCTTAAGTGACATTTCTAAAATACGCGTCCCTTTGAATAAAAATAAAATTTTACACTTCAATCGAAAAAAGCATAAGAAATGAAGATATTTTTCTCCTAATACGTCTTTTTTCTTTTGTTTCTTTGTTTAATCAGTGGCACCGAACAAAAGAAATTCCAGTAGCTTCTAGGAGAAGTTATGAGCTTCAGCTTCATGCTAAAGATGACTGGATCCAAGAGAGAGACATAGATAACTCGTTGTATTAAACAGTCTGTTTTGTTTCTGTGTGTGCTTGTTTGTCTTCTTTTTTATGAGTGCGAACCCCTCTTTGTTCATGTTTTTCTCTTTTACTTTGTTTCCTTGTGCGTTTCCTTTTTCCGCTTTAACCAAATGAACGAATCAGAATGTCCCTACCTGGTTTTGTCCAAAACAGTCTTTCCCCAGTAATGGGCCGTTCATATTCCCCATTTGGGTTACGCATGCCCACAGATATGTGATCGTTGCCACCTTTTTCTCTACCGAAGATCACCATTCGATAAAAGCGACACTTTTTAAGGACGATTGGCTGAGATGTTTGCCCTGGGTACCTTCAATAACAAAATAATTAGAGTATATCAGTTCTTATAACAACTAAAAATGTCACTAAAATAATTATCATAGTAATGTACTGCTTGCACATCACTTACTTGTCCCATTGGCGATAACGTGTCCATCTTTTAACATAAACAATTGGTTGGGGCGTCACACTTTCCCCAGATTCTATTTCAACTCTTCTGATGCCTGTCTCTGTGACATCATACTTCCATAACTCACACATGTCGTCGCACGCGGCATAAAAAGTGTAATTTCCGCTCAGAGAAACCTGAAACAGTATTTCATAATTGGCTTGTTCGGTCAAATTTTAACAAATATATATTTTTTAAATCAAAAAGCGATAGCACCAACAACATAAACAGCAGCATCAGCGACAATGAACTTAATCTTAATATGTCAAAAAGGCATGATTACAGTCATTCGTTCATACTACCTTTCAATTGAGATACTCTCTACTTTTCGAAAGGAAAAGTGTACCTTACAGCGCTTCAAAAGCCTTGCAATTGATCTCAGGTAAGAGCAAAAATACGTTTGCTTTGATGAGATTATACCTGTAGGTAACTTGTCAATCTTTGAACATAGTTCTCTGCCAGATTTATTGGTGCATCAAAATCCCTCAAAATAATCCGGCTTTCAGGTGGACCTTGAATAAGAGGATGTTCACGCATAGATGACGTCTTTGTGGAGTCATATTCGCGTTTATTGTACCATCCTTCACGTAAAACTCCGTGTACCTCTCGGGTCGACTCTATATTAAGTCAAACATTGAACAAATGTGTTTACTCTCACGTCCAGTTTTACTTGAAACAGGCCAAAGTAAAATTGCTGAATGGAATAGATGAATGGAAGAATCTTACATCACGTTAGCTCATCTCTATCGAAAGATTATAAGCAAGTGCGAAGGCTGATACCAAAGAATGTAAAATAAGCTAAATTAGCTTCATTCTTTCCCTCACCAAAAAGGACCAACGGGCAAAAAAATAAAGAAAGAAAGAAATCTTTTATAATTTACCAATTGTTTCCACGGCAACATGGCAGAGAACTAACGTGACATTATCACCCGTCAACGTTATTTTTACATGATTTCCAAGCGCGGGTGGTGAACAATCAAAACTGAATTCATGTGTCGTTCCATAATACGCCATCGATTTGGAACATGTTGGAGACAAGTCAGTTTGACTGGTTGTCACACTAACATTGATGATTCCAGAGTCTCGTGGACAGCAATCGATTTTGTCGGTTATTGAAACAGAAACGACATACAGCGGTTTGTCAAGGGTTGCTTGCCACCAGGGATTTGATTCCTAAACCGCGAGAAGAGCGTAAAAAGCAATATATAAAACACGGAGAAAAATATTTTGGTCAAGCCAGAACATGTGATATTTCTATGCATCTATTTTCACTTAAGGAAAGAAAATTCTGTTACAGCTTTGGATCCAGAAGAAGTGGAGAAACTCTACAATTAAGTAACCAATGCCATTACTTACCTTCAAAGAACGAAAGCAAGTAGAGTAAGATAGATCTATGGCCAGGATAGGTTCAAATGGCTGCAAAATGCTTGAACTTCTCATCAAACTCCGGTTTGATAATGACCCTTCTATAATTTAGTAAAAATGTCACAGTTGTATCTAGCAATGAAACTTCTTAACTGTTATGAATGTTCGAGAGGTTTGCAAAATCCCAAGGACGAGTATACAGATTGTGGTTTGTGCACCCCGTCTTCAACAAGAACAACGTGAAAATCAGCTACAGCTGCATGCCGAACATGGGAAACATCAACAACAACAACAAGAAAATCCTTATCAACAACAAAACCACACCGCAAAACGGATGCAACTGTAGAAAAAAAAAACTAATGCCCGCTAGACAACAACTGCCTCACAATAAGTGTAATCTACAAAGCCAACGTAACCACAGACAAATACGACACAGGAAAGAACTACATCGGACTAACTGAAGGAACATTCAAACAAAGATATACGCAACATAAACTATCATTCCGTAACAGAAAATACGCCAACCGCACCGAACTAGCAAAACACATCTGAAAACTCAAGGACAACATTGAAAACTACAAAATAAGCTGGTCTATCATCTCTTCAGCAAGCGCCTACAACAATATTGCCAAACGATGTAACCTCTGCCTAACTGAAAAACTCTACATTATTAAAGCCGACAAAGCAAGCAACCTTAACAGAAGAGCTGAATTAATTCAAATTCCAAATGCCGCCATGAGAACAAATACTCCCTAGTGAACATCGACACCAGATT